TATTAATAAAGGGAATAATCCACAAACAGGATACCACAGTGGTTAATATTTATGCACTAAACAATGGCACACCTAAATACATTAAACAACATAATAGTGGGAGACTTTAACACTCCACTCTCACCAAAGGACAGGTCAACCAAACAAAAATCAGCAAGGAGCTTTTTAATTAAGTGACATCTTAATCCAATGGACTTGATAGACATCTACAGAGTATTTCATCCAATAGTCACACAATTCATATTCTTCCCAGCAGCCCATAGGACATTCTTTGAAATTAACCTTATCTTAGGACACGCAAGAGTGAGCAAATACAAAAGGATTGTGAGAACTCCTTGCATCCAATCTGATCATAGTGGAATTAAACTAGTTCTCAATAACAAAGCATACTGCAGAAAACACGCAAACACATGGAGACTGAACAACATACTGCTGAACAACTTCTGGGTCACTGAGAAGTAAAGGAGGAAATCAGAAATTTCTTACAAGTCAATGAAAATGAAAACACATCGTACTGGAACCTCTAGGATACTGCAAAAGCAGTTTGAGGGAAAAGTTCATAGCTCTAAGTGCCCACATAAAGAAAACAGAAACAGTGCAAGTAAATAACCTTATGTTTTTTGCAACTAAAGCTGCTAGCAAAAGAAGAACAAACTGAACTCCAAACTATTAGACATAGAGAGATAGTAAAGATTAGGACAGAAACCAATGACATAGAGACAAAAAAAAACTATACATAAAGTCAACAGAACAAAAAGCTGATTCTTTAGGGGAAAAAAATCAACAAAATTGACAGACCACTGGCTAAATTGATGAAGAAAAGAATAGATTCAGATCAACAAAATCAGAGATGCCAAAGGAACCATTGCAACAAACATCCAAGAAATCCAAAACCTTATGGACTATTTTAAAAACATACTCAAATAGAGTGGAAAATCAAGTGGAAATGGATACATTTATAGGGACAAACAAACTGCCAAGCCGGGAGCTGGTGGCTCACACCTGTAATCCTAGCTACTCAGGAGGCTGAGATTTGAGGATCACAGTTCAAAGCCAGCCCGGGCAGTAATGTCTGTGAGACTCTTATCTCCAATTAACCACCAGAAAACTAGAAGTGGCACTTTGGCTCATGTGGTAGAGCACTATTTTGAGCAGAAGAGCTCAGGGACAGCATCCAGACCCAGAGTTCAAGCCCCATGACTAACACACACACACACACACACACACACACACACACACACACACACACACACACACACACACACACACACACACACACACACACACGCCCATACATGAAATGAGATTGAGGAAGTAATCAACAATTTTCCCACAAGGAAAAGCCCAGGTCTCAGTTGATTCATGACTGAATGTTACAGCTAATTTTGATAAGATTTTTAGAAAAAAAATTTTTTTCACCAGAAAAATGGAATGGAGCCGAAATGTACCCAAAAAAAGTTCTTGGAGCTAACAGAAACTAAATTCTTGGTTTCGAGTCTACAGAGTCTGGCAGAGGGTTTTGCGTGGTTGAGACATGGTGAGCCCTCTTTTGTTTCCCTCTCTCCACCAACTGCTAGGACCATCAACTTGGAGTTAGTTTTAGGTGAGATTATTTTTCCATCCCTATCTTGAACTTCTCCCTAAAAATAGACTCCCCACAGCAAGCTGTTGTGTGATTTTCCTGGGGACCATTTCAAGTCCTCCCTGATGTCTCTAGTCCTTCAGGATGGGCCATTCTGACTTGATCCCCAATAGTCCTTCCTATGGTAATGAAATAGCCCACACTTGTCTCTCCGCAATCTCTTATTCCTCCCGATAGTTTCTGATTCTGAGTCTTTGGAATTCCTACTTTCATCTCCATCGGTGTCTCTCTTTGTCTCCTTTGACTAGTCGGCTTCTCAAATAGAACCCATTGGCAGGTTCCACCTTCTCTCTCCTCCTAACTGAGAAGGTGTCTTATTTCCTTTTTTCCAAAGCAATTTCGAATGCCTCAAACGAAAAGGAAGAAAACTGGGATGAAAGGAGGCAGGAGAGGCACAGAAAGCAAAGAAACTGGCTAAAATGGCTCTCCTGTCAGATCCTTTCTTTGTTGAGTGACTTCAGGTAGGTGTGAGAAGTTTCCAGTCCCTGTGGTAGTAACAATGAGACCTTTGAAGAAGGACTACCATACCAGGTTAGGAGAAAGTGAGCACAACATTGGTTGGTTGACATCTGTGTCAGGTATTAATTTACTTTTATGTTTTTATTGTTATGATAGAGGTGATATACAAAGGGATTACAGTTACATAAGTTAGGTAATGTATACACTTCCTTTCATGCAGTGTCATCCTCTCTCTCTCTCTCTCTCTCTCTCTCTCTCTCTCTGTTAGATATTTATATATGCATCCACCACCAGCACCTGGCCATCTCTGATTTTTAATTGGGCAAACCTATTTTGAGGTTATGTTAATAAAGAATCTCTGCAATTCAAGGAAAGATATGTGAGACACAATTGTATTGGTGCCTGGTTGTCAAGTGTCACAATTCAATATCACAAAGCTACCATAATTCAAAGCAATGCTAGCTTGGTAATTCACTTCATTAACAATGCTGCCTGAATAATTTGTTCATTAGGAATAAACAAATCCTTGGAAAGTATGGTAATATATTCAGAAAGCACAGTAGATCAGAGACATATAGACAGCAAGAGAGAGAAAGAGGAAGGCTGTAATGGGGCAGAGAAATTGTACCAGAATTAAGAGGGATTGGTAAACTCACTGGGATCTGCATCCATATATTTAGAGAGTATTTCTGAGAAATAGCAGAGAATTAATTATGAGGCTGTCTTCTTTCTAGCTTTATATTGTCACCTCCCTCTCTTCCTGCATTACAGGATGTAATGTACTACAGAGTCTTGTCCCTCTCAAAGCTGTCCGCTTTATTACTTGCTAACGAAAATGGGTGTGGTGCAGTTTCCAGAACACATCTGTATCCAGGTCTTCTCTCTGTGCACACAGGAAGATTGCTTGTGTGTGTGTGTGTGTGTGTGTGTGTGCGCGTGTGCGAACCTGTCCCTGGGCTTGAACTTGGGGCAGGGGAGCAGGGACACTGTCCCTGAGCCTTTTTGTTTTCTTCTCAAGGCTAGTGCTTAATCACTTTGAGCTGCAGCTCTACTTCCAGCTTTTTGGAGACTAGTTGGAGATGAGTCTCATGGACATTTTTGCCTGGGCTGGCTTTGAACCCTGTCATCTCTCAGCATCCTGAGTAGCTAGGGTTACAAGCATAAGCCACTGGTGTCCAGCTCAGATTGCTTAATCTTGGGCATGTAAACAGTTTCTGGCCAGTGTCACATTTTACTTCCAGACCTGCCAGCACTTTGTTCTCCTAACAGTAATTATTGAAAGCTAGATGTCTAAATGAACATATAACTAAACTAAATTAATGTGGATCCCTGTATTAGTTAGAGTTTTCTAGAGGAATAGAACCCATACGGAATAGAAATAAAGATATAGAGAAATATTTATGATGGATTGATTCATTCGATTTTGGAGGCAGAGCAGTCCTATCAACTGCATCTGTAGCTAGGATTACGGGTATGAGCCTGTAATATTTGTGTGTGTGTGTGTGTGTGTGTGTGTGTGTGTGTGTGTCATTTACCCTGTTTTCCTGTTTGTATGGCTATTCGTTTGCTAAATATCTTCTTCCCTAACTTAAATTGCCATGACTATTGTCTCTACCTCCCTGTCCTAAATATCCTATGCCCAGATAAGATTCTGAAAAATTGCAGCTCCGATTTGATTCCCAACAAATGCAGCTCCTATGAGATGCCCAACAGATTCCTTCTGAATGACTAAATAAATGCATCTACAGTAAGAATAGTGCCTATTGGTAAAGCCTACAGAAAGTGAGAGTTGGTATTATTAAGCACCTACTATATTAAGACATGGTACTCGATTCTTTTACAATGTTTTTTCCAGCATGTATCATGAGTCACACTGTGAGACAAGGAATGTTAGAGATGTGGAAATATATAAAGAACATGTCCAGTGTGCCATTATGCTCATGACTCCATAAATTACATCCTTAAAGTGCTTTTTGGGTTTTGTTAATTATTGTTAGTATTAAGTAGTTGTACAAAAGAGTTACCATTCCTTTTTATTCTGGTACTGAGGTTTGAAATCAGTGCTTTGCCTTCACTTAACTTGTTGTTGTCATTGTTGTTTTGTATTTTTGTCCAAGACTGGGACTCAAACTCCATACTTGATGCTCTTGCTCATTGGCTGGCGCTCTACCAAGCCCTCCACTTGCTTTTAATGGTTAGCACTCTACCACTTGAACCATGCCTCCAGCCCCATTTTTTCTGCTAGTTATATTGGAGATGAAGTCTCAACAGACTTTTTTTCCTGAGCTCTCTCTGAACTATGATCCTCTGGATGTTGCCTCCTGAGTTGCTAGGATTATAGTCACAAGCCACTGGTGTCTGTCTCTTAAACTGCTTCTTCTTTGGGTTTTGTTTCACCTCCAGTTTCCTAAGTTCATGAAGCAATGGCGCCAGGCCTTTATGTCACAATTGGTATATTAATCAAAGGTCAGCTCTGTCTGTGTTCTTTATAGAGAAAATATTACTCCCTGTGTCTGCGTGCTTCCTAGCTAAGACAACACTTCTAAAAAAACATAGAGGTTATTTACATGCACTCAGGTGAAAACTATCCAACAATCTGTCCATTTTAAATACGAACTTCAAAATAGGAAAACCTGGAAATAGTGTTGTCAGCATAGATTTCTTTTCAGTTTGGCTTTGTAGTGTAAGGTGCTTTTTAAAAAAATAATTTAGACCTGTCAGAGGTGAAAATATCAATTTCCTTTTTCTTCTAGGGAGATATCCAATAAATGAATGAAAACCAGACTTTATTTTATCAATTAAATCTGATGTTGGCTAATGATATCTTATGAGCTTTCATTTTAAGTCAATCTCTTTCTCTCTCTCTCTCTCTTTTTAAAATGTCTTTTCCATGAACCAGCACATATCTAAATGAGAAGTCACTCCGACTGACAGAGATGTGCAAAAATCTGAAGTATGGCTTCAAGTCTTTATCTAACAAAACAAAGCGGTAAGTTCCACTCTTCGCACGTAATTTTATTAGGAAAGAAATGTTCAGTACTCTGTATTCTCTAGATCATTTTTGAAAGAAGATTTCTCCTCCCTCAGCCTTGATGCTGAGCTTGTAGAAGCTTCTATTGGCAATCAGAGACCAACAACCCAGAGCTGGACCTCCCTGGTGATACAGTGTGGGGGGGGGGGGTGGAGGAGGAGGGGGGAGGCTTAGCTTATCTGTTCCTGGATCCACTTTTATTAAAAATGCTGTGTGGTTTTATGGGCTAGGTTTTAAAAGAGGCTCTCCAATCCTTTTGAGAATCGAATCTGATAAGTGTTCTGGACTCTATTTTAGAAATTTTTTTCCCACAAAGTTTCAGTTACAATTTGCCTTTGGTCCTAATTGTGGCTGTTCCCCACATCCCTACTTCTGTTTACCATATTGTACCTCAAAGAATCCAGTGCATCCTCCTCTTTAACAAAGGAGAAAGAAATCCGAAAGCTTTGTGCATCCCACATGGAAGAGACTCTGTGACCTGAGATTCTGTTGTGAAGAGTCCTGTTTGGGTTGAAGCTGATAGAAGAGACTAGCCATGCTAGACAAAGGATGTGCATAGGACTATGGGATCATAGCTCTATAAGAAAAACCCGAAAAGTTCTTCTCTGTATTCTCTCTCTCTCTCTCTCTCTCTCTCTCTCTCTTTCTCTCTTCTCTTCTCTTCTCTCTCTGAGTCTCTCATGTACATACATGTGCACACATTTTCCTCTTTTGATTGTAAAAATATTACTTGTGGGAAGAAGGACTTAAATCAGCTGTCTGTAAATCTGTGGGGGTGTGGGAGGTTGACTTGGAAGACAAGAAAGCAAGCTAAGTAACCTGGTCTGACCTGCTGTTCAATAGAACCTCTGGGTACACAGACTTAGGACTTTTTCTTCTCTATTGATGGTCCTTTGCAGACTGATCTGATTCTTACAGACAGATGTGATTCCTGGCTAAGCCAGAATTTACATGATCTGGGATCCAGATCTTTCTGAAGAACTACCCATACACTGTGCATCTTGTTGAATATAAGAGCAAAATGTTATGTCATGAAAAATCTACCTCACAGACCCCACTTTGGTTTTAGGCCAGGTCTACCAGAATCTCACTACGTGGCCTAAACTGGCTTCAAACATAAGATATTCCTGCCTCTGGGATTCCCAAGTGCTCAGATGAGAGGTATAGGCCACTCTACTCAGCCAGACTACAAGGTCTTCTTACATCACACAATGTGAAGCTAAGTGCCATGGGTCCTGTCTGTCATCCCAGCTCCATGGAAGGATCAGGTAGGAAGGTCTTGATCTGAGGCCAATCCAGGCAAACTTTAGCAAGACCTTATATGAAAAGTAAACTAAAAGTATGGCTCAGATGGAAGAGCACTCACCTAGCAAGCTCCAGGCTCTTAATTCAAACTCTAATCACACACACACACACACACACACACACACACACACACACATCACAATTTGAGCCCCTATATGTCTCACAGAGACCCCAGGGTTCTGAAGATCAGCTGGAATATTGGCACATATACTCTTTCCTCTTAATAAAATGTCTGGACTTGAAGTAGCTCATGCTTTGTTGATGACACTTCACATCCGATTGAACGGCACCCGGGGTTTCTCTTTTAGTTGTTTGTTTATTGTTTGTTGGGTGTGGAGGTGTGACAAGGCTTCAAACTTTGCCCAAGGGCCTTAATTCCAAACCTTTTTTGCACCACATTTTATATATCAGGCCGACAGTGTGAGGATGCCTGAGAAAGGATAACTGGGGAAAATTTCTCCTTGCTCTGGGATGCCTCCAGAACCTGTAAACCCCTGCAACACACACCTCAGTGTCTGACCATTGTTTTCTGACTCTCACTGACATGAGCCATTTCTTTGATTCCCCCAAATGACAATCATCCTCAGAACACAAGCGTGATCAATAGCCACAGATCATGGCAAAACAATGAATCAGCATTGGGGGAAATTCTCTAATCAAAGAAGAGAAGTTGACTACTCTTTTGTATGCACCAGCCACAGTGGTTACTGCAGTATGCTAATGAGTACGCATGCTCTCTTGCTTGCTCTCTTGCTTTTCCCTGTTGTTTTGTAGTTGATGGCAAGACCTTCTCTCCGCTGTTCTTTAGGGGGCTGCCTTTCCATTACACACACAATTTTCAGCTAGCTCATGTAATTAGCCTGCACTAGTATTCACTGCAGTGGAGGTCTAGAGAGAGCAGGCACGAATTTCCCGTTGTTATAAAAGTGTTATTTTGTACACAGGAGACTAATTTTTTCGGTTGTATTGTCTATTGTCAGGAATTGTGTGTTCTGAAACTAATGCTATTAGAGACTTACAAGGGACAATTTGGAAAGCCATTCAGTGTATGCTGATAAAAGTAATTTCATTTTCTTAGAAAGAATTATTTCTCGCTATTTTTGTTATGGTCTGTTAAAGACTTAGAATTTTCTCTTTCTTCAGACAATTTGTCCCTTTCAAGTTGCTAAAATAGAATTCAGAAGGCCAGAGTTATAGTGGGAGGGAATCAGCACTCTTTTTTTCTCTGCTACTCTTGGCTATGTTTTTTTTAAAGAAAAGAAAAAAAAAACCCTAAAACCTGGCATGGTATTACGTGCCTATAACGTAACAATGCAGGAAGTATAGGTCAATCCAGGCAAAAGCACAAGACCCTGTTAAAAAAAATAACAAAAGCTTAAAAGGGGCTGGTGGATATGACTCAATTGGTAGAGCAACTACCTAGAAATCTGAGGCCCTGAGTTCAAACTCTCGTACCACAAAAGGAAGGGAGAGTGGGAAGGAGGGAGAGAGGAAGAAAGGGAGGAATTAAGCAGTTGCCATTAGGATAACATAGTATGTTATGTATCTTGACTGTGCTCTGTTAAAGACTGAGCTCAAGAAAGCAGGGCATTTTTATTTTTTATTTTTATTGTGAAAATACTGTACAGAGGGGTTACAGTTACATGGGCAAGATAATGAGTACATTTCTTATCAAGCATTGTAGCCTCCTCCTTTGTTTCCCCTTCCCATCTATCCTCCCCTCACCCCGCCCCACCAAAGTTGTAAAGTTCGTTTTTCCACATAACGACTTGTAACAGCAGGGCATTTTAAAATTTTTATTTTTAATTTTTTATTTTATTGTAAAGATGCTGTGCAGAGGGGCTACAGTTACATGAGTAAGGTAACAAGTACATTTCTTGTCCAGCATTGTTACTTCCTCCTTTGTTTTTCTCCCACTATCCCTTCCCTCCCTCACTTCCCTCACTCCTCCCCTCCCCAAAGTTGTAAAACTCATTTCCAACATAGTAGTGTCTTGTGAGTATCCTTGTTGCAATGGCTCATCCTGTGTCCTTGTTTCAGCATTTTGTTATTCCCCTTCCCCTCCCAAATTAGTTAAATGTATATACAAGATGCAGGGTACCAAAATCAAGTACAGTGACAACTGGGTAGATATACCATAGGGGGAAGAACATACAAAGGAAACAAAAAAAAAATCACATAGTACATTAAAAAGAACAACAACAAAGAAAGACCTCTTGTGTCCATATCTTTGGGTTCACTTCATTTAGCATCATCATATATAGTCATATGTTCATAGCTTTTGAGCTTTTCTGCTCATCGGATAAAATTATCCTAGACATATACTAATTATTGCAAATGAGAGAAACCAGGGGACCTATATTTCTGTGGGTCTGGCTTGCTTCACTTAATATGATTTTTTTCAAGTCTTTCCATTTCCTAACAACTGGGGTGGTATGATTCTTTCTGATAGAAGCATAGAATTCATATATATTAATATGTGTACACACACACATACACACACACACACACACACCACAGTTTCTTGATCCATTCATCTACTGAGGGACATCTGGGTTGGTTCCATATCTTAGCTATGGTGAATAATGCTTCAGTAAACATAGACGTTATTTCGAAAAACAAATTTACAACTGGTGAGGGAGGGGAGATGGGAAGGGGAAACAAAGGAAGCAACAATGCTTGATAAGAAATGTACTCATACCTTGCTCATGTAATTGTAACCCCTCTGTATGGTATTTTCCCAATAAAAAAACTTATTAAAAATTAAAAAAATAAAAAACATAGTTGTGCTGGTAGCTTTAATATGGCCTTGTTTGTGATCATTTGAGTATATGTCCAGAAGTAAGATTGCTGGGTCATAGGGCAGCTAGGGCATTTTTAAAAATCTTGTTCACAGTTCTGTTTGTGGTGTTTAAGGTGTAAGCAGGAATTAATTGCTCACAAAGCATTTCTTGAATGAATGGATAGATGGACGTATGGATGGATGGATGGATGGATGGATGGATGGATGGATGGATGGATGGATGGATGAATGGATGGATGGATGGAAGCATTTCTTAGGCCCTCAAAATACCTTTCTATGCCATGTCTAATCTCTAGGTGCTAAAAGTAGTCTATAAATCTATGAACTTCAACTCCTTTTAGATGTCAATGTTACCTTCTTTGACTTTTCCTCTCACTTTAGAAGTTCACTTTTCTGTTTTTCACGCACACATGAATATGTCTCTGGGTTTCTGCAGTGAAATTCTTTTCACTATGTTATCTTCCAGATGACAATATTATAGCATATTAAAAGTGCTATCTAGCCATCTTATCACTGCTGGTTCACTCATTTCTCAGTGTGGCAGACATTACTTGAAATATTTTCTGTTGATGTTTTTAGAAAAATGGCTCCATTAGGTCCTCAAATTCTTCATCTTAGCCCTCAGTGCTTCAGGCAAATGAAATGATTTCTTTCTAAGGAAATGGACTCACTGTCTCCTGCCTGGGTATTTCTGCTTCTGTTGCTGTGTCAGTCAGCTTTCCATTATGATAACAACTACCTTAGGAAAATTAGCATATAAAGGAGAGAGATTAATGAGGGAATCACAGTTTGGAATGTCCTGCCTGTGGTCAGCATATACATTTCTTTCAGGCCTCTGATGGCGGTGGTC